GGAGAGATATTAAATCCAAACATTGTATCAGCACTTTTCTTTACACACTTTTTAAAAGTACTTCTGCATAAATGTATGCTTTTCTTACTTCTAGAAAATCAAAACTTTTTATAGCATTTCTTCAGGCATACATTTCTTTCTTCTAACAAACCAAAATTTTTAACACACTTTTTTAACACTTCTACTTCTATTATATACGCATGGTTTTCTTTCTTTAAGAAAACCAAACTTTATTAAGCACTTCTATATGCATACTTTTCTTTCTTCAAGCAATTCAAATTTTAAAAAACCCACCAATTTCTATACGATACGATTAGATATAAGATAAATCTTTATTGTCCCAACAACAGCACTTTACTTTTACAGAGAGAAAATTATACAACTCACAGCTGTCCTACTTTGGCCAAACACTTTTCGTCTGCCGTCCTGTCAGCCAGCTGGACCCCATCAAGCTCCGACTGCAGTTTTCTCCCCTTGGCAACAACCTTCTGAGTCTGCAGGTATAGCGGCTTCTCTTCATCTTCGGTAACATCTGAAATTGAAAAAAAAAATAAAAAAATATCTAGGTGTTTTTATGCCGCCCCCCCACACACACACACACACACACACACACACACACACACACACACACACATATACACTAACAGACAAACAAACCAAATATACTACTGGAGAAACATGCACACACATTAAAGCTACAAGCATTAAAGTGAAGTAAAAATTTAATTAAGAAACTTTCCGATTCTGTAACAAAGATTAGTAACTAACAAACGCTTGAACCCATCTGTTCCTGCATAGGATTTGCAAAAAAAATTTTCTCAAGCTTTCACACAGTGACTCTCATATATCTGAGGCTCCGATTCTGAGCACCTTACACACAAGTGCTAAATTCACATTTAAAGCTCAACACACACTAAGAAAATATTCCCCTTCTGTTCGCCTGAGAGGATGCAAATGGAGCAGTCTTCGCCCGTATACCGCTACCTTAGAATTACAAGGTTCTATAGATATATGACATTTTTTGGTCGCTTTGAGTTGCTGAGACCATGGGGTCAGAAACAAAGTGCTCTTTCTGCTCTGTCAAAATCGTAAGAATAATCGGAGTCGCTATCGAGATATTTAAAAAATCTCATACGTCAAATTTCTCGAAACTAGGACTCGGTACCTAGTTTGAAGAAATTCGACATTAAAAATGTTGAGTTTCACAACATGTCAAGCTTTTTCGAATGCAATTCTTTGAATATCCTGACAGCGACTCTGAAAAATCTTGCGATTTTGATAGAGCGGGTAGAACATTTGGTTTCTGACCTCATAGTCTTAAAAACTCAAAACAGCCAAGAATGTCAAAACTTAGTAATTCTGGGGAAGCGACACCTCTCGTCGCGGCCAAGTGACGTCATACTTGGCAGCTGCGCGAAGAGTGGCAATTTCCATAGTGTGCGTGGGGCTTACCTAAGCTATGCCCACACCACACAAGTATTTAAAACCATCTATGATATATCAGGTAATTTCACTTTTATGTTTAATCAACCTGCATCTCAGCTTTTCTCACTCCAGTGGTATAATTATCATAATTTTTGTGCCTAAGCTGTATTTCTACTCCAGCTCTAAACCCACCTCATAATCCGTGTGAGGACAGCAGCAGTGGTATCATGATAAAGAATAGTGCCATTACTCTGATAGCGACTTCTATTTCTGTCAGCTGTTGTAAATAACATTTTTAAAAATAAATTACTTTATTGACCCTTTTGGGTACATATGGCAAACATACATACATAAATATATAATAAAACACGCAAATATAGGCCTACATAAAATGGAGCCAATTGAGCTGACATTAAACAGACATTCAGCCACTCTCGGAAAAATATTTTTTTTTAAAGCCTGCTTTCGGAATGTCAAGAGCCATAGCAATCCTAATAATCTAAGTATCAGCCACCTATCATCAAGAATAAGGGCGTCGCCAAGTCACTGAATATTGGCTTCTGATTTTGAAAATTGCGACGCTCTGCAGAGGGCGTGTCTTCCAAATTCTCACTAAAACAAAACAAAACAATTTTTCCAAAAAGAAAGATACCCCAAAACTGCAGAATTACACCGAAATTCTACTATTCATTATATAGTCACTGTATAGGCAACAAGTTGGTTGAACCGGTGTCTGTGGTGTAGCGATTTAGAGCTTCGCTGTCGCACGTTGGAGACTCGAGTTCGATTCCCGCATGGAGCGAAAACGTTTTTCGAATACTTCGGTGTTTCTGTCGGGATGATGTACCCTTTTCATTCCCAGACAAGCAGAGTCGAGAGCTCGTCTCCTAAATGATCTAAATTGTGTTAATAGGGGTTTAAACAGTTCCGTTGGAAAAAATTGGTTGAAAATTCCTGCCACATTTTTTGCTTTTACATATCAAAATCATAATAATATGATTGATTTCTTTGACGATTTTAACAACAAGGGCAATTATGTTTGATTTGACCTAATAGGTGTACTAATGTATGTACTGTGGTGTAACTGGTACTATGGCAACAACAAGAAGTGTGCATCGCTTTTGTACCCCGTTTACAGATTGTAATATGAGCCATTGATTTTTATTTATGATCATTTTCACTTTCCTTCTTGGACAACGAGAGCATATCTTCGCTACGTTCTCATCAATGGTTAAATCCATCCACATCTAAGCTAACTGTGTCCACATCAAGATTGATGAATTCATCTAGCATATTTCCAGTCGAATGCTAAACCCGTCTAGACTTAATCCCCAAGGACCACATATTTGGCACAATACCTTCAGATAATGACATCTGGAAATAGTTCACCTTGACGGACCTAAGCATGATACGTCAATGTTTTCAGACTAGATCTTGCTTTCTAGAAATAGTCCCATTACAAGTCGTTCTAAAATCAAAAGCGAAGTCTATCAATTTAGTATACCTCCATCTATTATTTCAAATATCATGCTTTTTAAACACATTGTTATTTATCGAAATCAGGTTCTAAGGGGTAAAGACCAATGGCTACGAGTTGGCAAATGGAACAATTTTCGCCCATTCGTCTCTCTTTACCATCAAATGAACTCCTACTTTGCAGCCCTGCGACGAATGGAAATTTTCCTTTTACGTAATTACAATGTACAGTGTGGTCGGGGTCTGGAGGCATCCATAAAATTTTTCCATTCTTGTAAGCTTTTTATGTTCCACTACCAAACCTACATATTATCATCTACTTCAGTAGCACATCAGTGATTGAGCCCTTCTCTTATATACCGGTGCCTGTGATATGGCGGTTAGGCACTTCCCTAACGCACGCAATACGACTCGAGTACGTACGGTGTTGTTTTTTTTGTTGTTTTTTTTAAAGAAAACCTCGGTCTTTCTGCTGGGATGGTGTATCCATCGTGGCCCGGGTTGGGCTTTGACAGGGAGGGTCTGAAGTCCGCCTCCTATACGAGCTAATTTGTGTCGATGGGGTCGAAAAACACCTACATTAAAAATACTTTTTTAAAACCTGTCTACACCTGTGCTATTTTCCAACCCATATCAAAACCGTCTGTGTGTATGCTATTAACATGCACGTGCCAATTCCTTCTGTCAGAACTAATTTTGCACTCATGAGACCTGCAAGCAAGGACAATGCATGTCCAGGTACTGTGTTTGACACTCCGGTTGTATTTTTTTCCAGGAAATTGGAGGGACTGCCCGTAAATTCAATATTGGGTGGTGAGGGGAGGGGTGGCCCTGGTTCAAATCCCTAACTAGGCGTTCTTGAACTTGGGTTGTTTCATTTTGCGGAATTTTCAAGGCTCTCAATCCACTGGGTTTGGTTCTATAGGAGAAGGGCGTAGAATTCGGGGGATCGGGCTTCTTAAATAACTGAGTAGTGTTGAAAGTGGCTTTAAACCCATTCGCTTACTTACACATGTCGCGTACGCGCACTTTAAAACGCACAATAATATCCTGTAACAATAATGACATTAACTGCGCCTTCATTTTTTCGGAAACCCTGCAGATGAGTCATGTGTATAAGTGGCAAACCGATCGCTGCGTGTATCCGTTAACAGCCAATTAATGAAAGGATACTTTAAGTTAAAAAATGACGCCAATCCCAATGAGTTCCTCCAGGACACAGCCTGTTGAAGCGAAGCGGGGGACGGATGACATTACTTTTCCCCTGTCGGTTCCTCAAAAAGGCAGGAATGTACACATAATACATGTGT